GCTTCGGCTGGCGGCACCGCTAAGATCCGTCTCTGAGCCGTAGGCGTGGAGTTAAATATCAATCACAGAGCGGCCGGTGAGTGGAGCGAGCGAGCGAGCGGGTTTCGATTCGTCAAATGCGTATTCGTCGTAGAGGACATGGAGTTGTCGTATTGAGAATACTGTTGGTGATCAATGGCAATTAGTGAGTCCAAATAAGGCTCGCCGGTTCAAAACGCTCGAAACCTTAGAGTGCCATGGCGCCGATAAAAGCGCCTGGCACTAAACTTGGGTCAACAACGTCTCAAGAAGGCATTTCAAAGATTCAGATTGGTAATCGAAACCCCAGAGATCATCAAGACATGTGATGCAGCGGCATTACAAAGAATGCCCGGCACTTCTGGGGGCTGCTTCGCTGTTATCCAGCCCTGTTTGTTTTCAGTTTAGACGGGAATAAGTCACATTCCACGCCCACCTGTCATTGTATCGCAGAGACATTCGATATGTCGCCATTCCTGGGGAAGCGGAACCGTCGAGAGAATGCCACAAGGATAAAGATAGAAAAGGCGGAATCACACGATGAGAAAGTCAATCTGTACTGCAGAGCACAGTAGCGGCCCCCAGGCGTGGAGGCGCAAGATAACCTTTCATGCGAGGTGTAGACTACCCAGTAACTGCAAAGGGCAAGATGTGAATCATAACGAGTATGCCTCATCGGTCAAAGCCGAAGGGGGAGCAAAGAATGAGGAAATCGTGTGCAACATACGCAACGAGGCAGAGTAATGAGAGTGAATGCGAGAATTGGAGTGAATACGGGGTCGAGCTGAGCAGAGTACGAGCATGATGAATAGGAGGAGAGTATTATGATTAAGGTGTTGCGATGTCATGTCAACTCATACAACGTTAAATTGCTGATATACAGAAACGGTATCAAGATTCGAAGGCTCAGGGGGATTAGCAGTACTAAGGTATGCATGGACAAAGTCCCCTGGGGCTGAGGCTGAAGCTGATGATGTTGTTAACAGGTTTGTATCATGACGATTTCATTCATCGTTGATGAAGCTATCCATGACAGTTGAAGAACCAGGTACTGCATGTACAATGATGTGTGAATGTATGTGAGTGTGAGGGGCGGGCTAGACTCTAGGCTGCCGTCAATTCAGTGATTATTCCGCTAGTTACAGCCTCAATTATGAGTGAATGAGTGAGTCGTGAGTGAATGAATGAACTGGATGTCCCAACCTGTCGGCTACCACTCGGCGAGATTCCCATGCAGCCGTTTGTGTGTGGTTTTGGTTGTGCCGCATTCGATATGTCGATGTCAAGAAACAACAAACTGGTTGATCTGGATCTCAAGACCACCCCCCCTGTCGCCCCTGGTCCTCCGCCTTTTCAGCACTGCAAAACGCTCTCTCCCACGTTAAACTGGCGGACATTGGCACCCCTGTTCACTTCTCCACTTGGATCACAGGGCGGGGATGATCGAAGCAGGGGGTCACACCGAGTACGTACCTTGCCCTCTATCTTTAGGTAGTCCACCCTTGGTTGACCTGAGGCGCAGGGGATACAATTTGCTAGGGACACCAGCCTCAAGTCAAGTCAAGTCAAGTCAAGCCAAAAGACATGCATGCATGCACCTCTTTCCTAATGAGGGTGCCATGTTGCGCTCTCCAGTACCTCTACCAAGAAAACGTGGCGGAGTAGCTCTCTCATTAGTCTCCCCGTCTCCGGCTCCGGCTCCAAGGAATCGGCCAGAGGCTACAAGGGAAGAACGCTGTGAATGGAAAATCAGAGTTTCCGTTTCCCGTTCCCGTCGAAATTCTTTCCACTCTCGCTCTAGTGCCTTGCTCTCGCCCAGCGATTGGGTTCGACTTTGGGTTTGGGTTTGGGTTTGGCCTTTTCTTTGCAGATGGAATCACTAGAGCTGTGCAAAATACTGCTGCCTACCGGGGCGCAACCCCAGACAAGAAGGCCGTTAACCTTATGACGCCAATCGCATTTCTCGATCAGCAAATCAATCGCGACAACGTGACTCGAATTGTACATTTGTTCTGCACTTACATGCCAGCCACCGGAGTAGCACTGCATTTCGCTTCGCTACTGTACTGTACAGTATGTACAGTGCAATCAATCATCAGTCGTCGAAAGCTACGACGATAGGAGCAAGAACATATTGCCTATTCCGTAGCGTAGTGTTTATTACCTACAAGGTAGCAGTAGCACTCTGCGCTGTCTTGGGATGGGCTGTTGATCACTCGCTACAATGCACTGCCGTATTTCCCAAATTAAACCCGAGCCTGATCCCAGCGAATCGCCGATAACATAAGGTGGTGATGATGATGAACTGTCCCAGGCCAGGCCAGGCACGGGCTACGGGTACAACACGCAGCCTAACCCAGCATCGCAGCGTAGTGTCGTGGTTAGTAGGGGATAGCATGGTTGCAAGATTGCACTCGTGGGCTTCGCCTTGTGGTTGCGGCGGCACAGCAGGTTACTGTACCCAGAGGCCCTGTCTCTCCAACTCTAAGAGCATGGATTCACTTCCATCGGGAGGATCCGCATCCGCGAGTCTTGAAGCCAAGACAAAGGGAACAAGGGGGCAGGTAATTTAATTTCATTTTTTGCTATTGTCGGGTTGCTCTTTTCAGTCTTGACAGCGGAGTAGAATATTTTCACCCATGGATATGTCCATGGAGTTGGGAACCAAACAGCGGGAACTTGGCTACAACCGCCCCCGCCCCTTGAAGAACAAAGAACAACACCATGCCTTTGTTGGAGATGCGCAGGCTTGACCAATCAAGTCGAGGATCCACCTCTCATCTTGCTCCCGCGCGTTCAGCCCTACCGCTCGAGGTCACCCCCACCCCTGTCCTGTCCTCTCCTGTCCTGCTCTGTCTTCCAGTCTTTTGCTGCTCTCCTGCAATGGAAGCTTCGCAGGCCCACGCCCCCTCAATGAAAATCCCCACACAAGTTCAGTGCTCTAGCAGTGAACACATCCACTGAAGCTGAGCTGAGATCTTTTAGTGCTCATGTCTCTCGGCACTTGGGATGCTTCATTCTCATCCTCACATTCAATCCAGAACTCTTGGAGAACATTGGCAACAGAGAAAAGAAAGAAAGCAACATATTCGTCATCGTGAGACACCTGACGTCTCGCCAAGGGACCGTAGACCCTGTCGCTGTAGATGGTGAAGAAGATGCGGCTAAGGTACCTAACTCTCTGTTCGGGGACTGTCGCATGCAACCACGGGCATCTCCAAGACCAAAAGACGCAATCTGCTTGGACGGCTTCGCTTGATCAACCGGCCTCGCCGAAGCCTTATTTCTTAGAGCTTCACCGCTGAGCAAAGATACCCTTCCCCTCATCAACTGCAGCCCTACGAGGAGAGTTGCTAGAGTCTGACTGTCATCAAACGGCGGAGCTCCAATTCATCTCCCTATCTCTCATCTCCGCAATTTTCGCAACCACAGCCAACGGATGCCATACCACATGTTGATCATGGTCTTGGGCCTGTGTCTCGATTGCATCTGCATCTGCATCTGCGTCTTCAGCCCACGGAGGAGATGCACTGATTTGGAAATGGCGGACCGAGGACACTGAGCGCAAGCTGTCTTGTCAGGCAACCTTGTAGTGTACCTTGCGGCTGTCTCTGTCTCTGTCTCTGTCTCTCTACTGTTCACTCGCTGTTGGTTACTGCTCATTCCAGCTCCGATGCAGTGGATCAGCCCTTTTTTATCGTTCTGAGCTACCCGCTGTGTCTTGCATCCCAGTCATCACCTTGAACTATCGCTCGGTAACACGGCGCATCTGACTGACCACGCAATGGCAATGGCGATGCCTCGAATGGAATCTCCCATTGGAGTATTCTCTTTCGAGCATTTTGCCTTTCTTGATTGTCCGGACTTAAACATGTTAATTACGTACACATGATTCGGACTTAACAGCCATCAGGACAGACGGACAGACAGACAGACATGAAAAGGTACAGAGCTGCGCTACGTTTCAAGGCGTTCAAGCCATGTACCTTTGAATTTAACCCAGGTTTCTAGACGCGTGTGTCGCATCGCATCGCATCCATCCGCTGCGCTGGCATACCGTACGCCCCCTGGTTAACCCTGGCAGGTTATTTGCCCATTTATCATTTTTGGACCCCAAAAACGTTTCCCTTGCTAGCGACCGACGCTGGCTCCCTGATATCTACACCCCACAGCCCTTGCAAATTCCCCTCCCGTCCCCTTCATCTTTCTGGCAGTTGATTGCGGGCGTGCTGGTGCTGCCCATCATTTCCTACCAGGGGAAACAGGCGTGCCTATCGCGTATTTTTGCAGCTCGGGTTTCAAGCTATCAGATACGCCAGAGCTCCCCGAGCTACTCAGGAAACGAAGCGGGAATGAATGAACCAGAGCTCGGACGTTACGGTATCATTTGGCTTGACTTGACTTGTCTCATCTTGGACTTCACCCTAATCACGGGCTGCAATTGTTGTGACTCAGTTCGGGGACCTCGTCTAAATGGTCTGTCGGGGTTTGGGCAAAAAGTCGCGACGAATCTGCAACTCGAGTCTCAATGTCTTGCTTCACCCGAAAGAATAGGAGAGCAGAGATGCAGGGACATCTATCTTTACTCCACAAGCACGCAGCCGCGGGGATCTCGTCGTGGCTTACTACCCCATCAAGCCAAGTCTCAGTCTCAGTCTCACTTCAATGAATGCTGCTCATGGTCTTGCTGTATCTCCATCGCTAAACCCATGGGCAAAGCGCATCATCCAGATGGAGTTCTCGGAGACTTTGATTCACGTGCGAGCATTCATGTCGGGAGGAAAAGTGTCCGCTCCATTCTGGTAATGGCAGTGCCAGTGGTAGGCTCGAGCTTGGGCTCTAGGCAGGAAGCTAGTGCTAGGAAAAAGTCTCCGCGTAGGCTCTATTCCCAGTGTGTACTGGTGTGAGGACCCAATGGAAGCCAACACACCCCCAAAGCAAAGCCGTGAGCTGTGAGTGAGAAAATGGGATGGATCCCCAGAATGCCGTCCAGTGGCTTGGGGCCTTGGGGAGGTGAGAACCTTAAACCTACCCTCGTCGACGGGAGACGACATGAGATGGTACCGAGGAAGTGGTGCAGCATGTTCATGTAAGACGATATGTTTCTGGTGGTGAAGAACCAAAAAAAGATCCTCGCAGAGAATGGCTCTGTTGAGTATAGACAAATGACAAATACAAAGTCAACATTAGACTGAGCTAGCTTCATTAAATGGGCCAATTGATAAAGCGGGAATCCGTTCGCCGACCCTGAGCCGCATAGTCGTGCCGCAAGCCGGCCGTAGGAGGTCCCAGGTCCGTAGGTTGAGGTAGAGAGAGAGCGCTAACTTGAACCAGACAGGAGAGTCAACGACAAACGGCAACGGAATCAACAGATGATCAAAACATGTGGGCTTGAATGGCTCCGACGGTCCTCGTCTCGCCAAATAATCATCGCCGTTTCAATTTCAGCCGTGATTCACCTGCATTTGATTTCAGAAACACCAGAAATGCCTGGTTGTATGCCTCGTCTGGCGTGCATGGTCCGCTACGGCTTCGCCGAAAACCCGTGCCTTGAGTTGAGTTAGTTGACGCGCAGGTCATTATGCGCCCGTGATGCATAGTCCCCGATTATCTCGGTCAACTTTGTACAGCATCTGATGCTAGCGATAGCTTTTTCGGATTGACGTCAACGAAAACAAAAAAGAACTTGCAAAATCTTATTTTGGGTAGTCGAGTTAGTTTAGACTTGTTTCTATCATTTAGACGCGGGCATGTTGAAGAAACACGGATTTTGCGGCTTAACAGTGAGCTCAAATCCGCAAAGTCCGCGACTCATCAGAATTACTTTTTATGGTAAACGCTTTGGTAATGTGCTCACCCTGTGGTCCCTGATAGAGAGCTTGTCCTTTTTTCTGCTTGCTTGACACCTTAGTTATGATCGACAGCTACCAAGCATTGGATGCAAGCTTGGGTAGCTTTTTGGCGAGCTTGGAGCTTAGAGTTTCGCCAACGTAGCGTAGCAGTCAAAGCAAGGTAGTCCCAGTGATCTGGCTCAGGGCGCAGCGGCCGCCTCTAGCCCCCAAGGATCCTTTGTCGACTTGTCACTCAAAAGGCGGCGGCGGACTTTTCAAACAGTCGGACACAATTTGTCAAAAGGGGTGTACCACTGCCTCTACCACTACCGGTACTGAGCAACGCTATGAGGACATCGGGATGACAGAGGGGGCAGCACTCATCCAGGGCTTGATACTCTCTTCCGGTTGGAGGACACTCATTCAAGCGCCCAACTTGTCATCTCGTAGGGCTGGGTAGATCCTATCCAAGTGACAGCAGGGGGGGCTGTCTTCACCCCCGTGCTCTATACATCATTGCCATCCGTCTGGATGGTCTGGTTCACTGCTTGATAAGCACACAAACTGTCGGTCTCGCAAGGGATTGGACAAGAGCCGCCGTCCAAGGGGTTATATCAAATACTGAGCCTGAGCCTTATTAGGGAGTGCCGTCTTCAGTTGAATGCAACCCCACGCATCACCCATCACCTGTGATGGTGATCAACAAGAGGGTGGTTTGTTCTGACCAAAATGGCGGGTGATGGATAACGGATAACGGGCGGTGCCACGTACATGCCTACAGCACATGCAACCATTGTCTCAACCACAATCATATCCATGCAGCCTCAGGGGGCAGAGGCATAGCAGCCTGGCAATACTGCGGCTTCATTGGATAGCTGCCTCTCCTTTTGAAGTTGCAAGGCGAAGCAGATGGGCCCAGAGATTTGGACCATGCATTTCGACGAATATGCCCAGATTGGGAAATAGGACCAAAGTCCCGTCAAGAGGGGACCCTTTGTGCTGCTAGCCAGCATATGCATTCATCTGCGCGTGCGTCTAGCGGCAGTTTCAGCCATCGTCGGCGGTCCAGAGTCGAGACTCTCTGTCTCGAAATATCTCATGTTATTTGTTGGGCACTGATGATCCGAGGACTGTCGTTGGGCTGCAGGGGTCCTCACAATCGGATAATCAGTATCGTTTGAGGAATCAAGTTTCGATGGATTAGATGATACCTATGCTACGTTGAACCAATGTGAAGAAGAAAGTGTGCAGCGCCGTGCATTGCATGAGGCACGGAGCCCAGGGACATGGCTGAGGTGGTCCCGACTGTGAGGTGTAAGGCTGAGTATCCGTGGATCCAATCCAATCCAATTGAATCCAAAGGATGGAGGTTACTTCCGGCAAATTGCTGTAGGCATGTATGTATGTATGTATGTATGTAAGTGCCTGCCCACATACCGAACCGGTGTAACTCTGCCAAGCATGAGGGAGGATCAATTACTGATTTCCTAATCCATCGATCTAATGATTTGTTTTATGGAGCATTTGACCACACGTCGTCTATCTAATCATGCATATCCTTGACTCTGTTGTGTTGCGTTGCTAAATCCTAGTGCAATCCTCCCCTACGAGGTCCGATGGACAATAGATGGACATCCGTAGGCGTCGGCGGGGAATAAACATAAAATTTCAACATACCGCGCGGGAATAGAGCAAAGGCCTATTTCTGGTCAGTGCCACTAACATTAGCACAGCAGCATGGATCACTAAATCGACTGATTTCCCACCTTGTGGGGGAACGAGCCCGAATTTTCTATTGGCTAGCCAAGTTACCTAGTAAATAGAATTCGCACGGGAAATGATAGACGGATCGGGATATGGGGACGTGTCAGAAAGTCTAGACATTCTGACAAACGAACTGGCCTAACGTTATGCTGCGCTGAAGGATCTGTTTGAAAGTACGTGCTGCGCAAACACACAACTCATTAACATACAGGGGTCCAGGGGAAAGCATATCGGCCTATGGTTGTGATATCTTCTATTGTGGCAGGGCGTGTAATAATCCCTCGGTGAAGAGGCGATGAGGATATTTTTGACATAGATCACTGCTCCGAAGTTACAGGGCACGTCGACAGCTAAGCTGTGTGAGGCAGTTGGAATCCCCAGCCATCCATGTCTGAGCATGTAAGTTGATAGCCGGAACGGCATCCCGTGGGTGAGTTGTGAGGTGGTTACATGTGAGGATTGAGTTAAGTCGTGTCGAGACCAAGCGGGTTCACTGATCAAGACATGAGAATCACGAAAAGAGGAGGTGGCGAAACCACTTGCATCAGCACTCGCGGATATCATCTTGCCCGCCTGTCGTGAATCGGTGCATATCCGAGCTCGACCGTTGAAGCTATCTTGATTTTATCCTAAAGCTAGATGCGGCACAGTAACAAACTAGAACCCACGAAGCCGCCTTCTACAAACGGCATTCAAGGATCCATCCAATGGTCTCGACGCCATCATCTCGGAAATTTACTCGTTCTGTTCTGCTTCTGTTTCTGTTTCTGCTCCTCTTCTCAATCAACCGTCTAGGAGCAAGGGCCGTCATTGCGTGCGTGTGTGCCTCAAAAGCTCGAGCCATATAATTCCTAGCCCGCGGCGCTGCTATCAAAGTCCCCGCCCACTCAGGCTTCGCCATGGCACCCCCAAAAAGCAAAGAAAGAAAGAGAGCAGTTGAAACGTTGCGACAGCCTAAGGAAATTTGACTGCGGCTGAGGATCCAATCAAGTGGCCTGGTCGTCCCTCTTGTTCGTGCGACGGCTCAACTGACAACCCCGAAAGTTTATCGCGCTTGACAGCTGGCACTGTAGCCAATCACAAGTGGATGGGCGCGAGCAGTAAGGACAGGGGTTGTCGAATAAGTCTGCGCCGCACTCTTGTGACAGCAATGCCCTCTGCTAAAATCACGCTCGCGCTTGTTTCGTGACTCTACGGCTCAATTTGACTATGATGCAAGGATTCACATCCCGACTCTATCTCGGACTCTCTCGTAGCAGAGTAGTCCGATGTCTTTTTTCACGGCTCCTTCCATGAAACCCACTCTGCGACTCTGGCTAACTAATGGGTCATTTCGGGATAACGATTAACCATAATTCATGGTAAACGATATCCGCTACCAGCGGGCGCAACCCAACGCTGAGCATTGTTGACGTCTTCTGACATTTTCTGACGACGGACTCGATAATTAATGTTGCACTTGATTCAGTTCTACCGCACGGGTAATTAGTAATAGTAAAAGGGGTTCATGTTAGGTCGTGTTGACGTCGCTCTGCCGAGCCCTGGGCACCACCTACATACTAACGCAAGTGTCCAAATGCTTAGTTATGGCACATTCCGCGGAGCCGGAACTCCCCATGCACGGAGCCGGTGATTTCCTTTTACGGTCTCTACACGGAGAAGCTCCCATCTATATCCGTGATGGAACCCTGGGAGCAAATGACGAGAGGCTTCACTTCACGTCCACGTCCACGCAGCCCTTTCATCGTGAGGATTTTTTAAGACCAGAAAAGTGCTTAGAATAGCGCCATAGCTTCAACCAGACAACTCAACCAGACCGCTTGTTCATACGTCGTGGATACGTTGGATTTTTTAGTGTATTTGAAATGTCTTCAGAGGAGGAGACAGTCCGTGTAAGTGAGCGGCACAATTTCGCCCAGATAGCTCCAACTCCAACTCCAAGTCGCTGCGGGGGGTTTTCCAAAGAAGAAGGTTGGTTGTGGTTGATCGACAATGCTTCTTGTGTCACCCGCTCAACTGGTAACGGGCGCGATTAGAAACTGTGATCCAAAAGATAAGCGCCAGATCAACAACAGTTGAAGCGGATGTGGTATTGTCATCGAGCATATCGCGCCTCTGATAGCCCATGAGATCCAATGCCATGTGTTGGATGTGTGTGTGTCTGTATGTGCTGTGCTGTGCGTGGGGATCCATCGTCCGCGCAACCTCAGGGCGCAAAAGTCTCGAAGGATTCTGGCAAAGCAGGGTAATTTGCCCCGTTGCTGCAAGACGGGTACACAAGCCGAAGGCCTGCCTCGCTACGACTTGTCTTGTGCACTGGGCAAAAAGAAACAAGGTTCAGGGACAAGTTGCACATCATTACAGGCAAAATGGCTCAAATGGGGCTAGTCCGGGCCTCTTCTCTACAGGGCCATTGACGAAAGTCAATCTGTGCTAATGGGTCGCCAACGAAGTAGGCGAAGGAATTGATGGAACGTCGATCCTCAGGTGGCCCCCAAGGGAATTTCCAAATAAACAAGTTATTCCATGGCGTAGGGTACGGTATTTCACCCCCTTAGTTATGCCTTGCTGGGCCTTGTCTCTCCAGAATTGAGTCAAATGCTGCGACGGGTCGCCACTCAACGGTCGCGGGGCAGGGGTCGGCCGCCTGTGAGAAACGTTTCTAGGTAGCGTCTTGGTGCGGCCGCGCTTAATCTTTAACAGCCGGAAGCTTGATCGTGAGGACAGCCGACCCCTGCCCACCTTTATTTCGTTGTAGGGTATTTTACAAACTCAATGAATTCAGTATGACCTCCTTTGACAAATAATAGGGTTTTGGGGACATTATTGAAAAGTCTGGCAAGTAAGATAATATGACGAAGATGGTTGAAGGTTGTTATGAGTAAAGCCAAGACTTAGAATTGCAGGTTACGTGTTTCCATTACTGCGAGATGTGTATCATGTTGGTCCCTTGGCTTGTTGGCTCTGCCATGGACAACGAGGATCTGCCGTAAATATGGCCCAATTCGACCACGCTCAATACAACATGGATGATTTAGTCAATGTGATTTCAGTTGTTGTTAATGCCGACACCTGTCATGTCTTATCGATATAGCTAATGGTTGAACGCAGCGTCGCTTTGGCCCAGCCCAGCCCAGACAATTGCAATTGCAACTGTAACTGCAACTCTAACTCATAGTAATATTCCGGTGATTATTCACAGGGGTTCATCGTCCTGTAGCCATGTGGTTGGGTGTGTCGGTTGTTGGGGAACTGTTTGACCTGGGTCCTCAAGACTACAACGGTAGGGATAGGCGCGCAACTGGGGAATATGGCACGATGTTGATGTCGCTTGTCATCTTGTGCATCAGAGACCGGTAAGGCAGGGCTGGCAGGGTAGAGTCACTAGACAAGATCTCCAGAGCAAAAGCGGCATTCTCTTGGGACATGGACAGATCTAAACCGAAATAGTACGAATAGTCGACAGTGACTCTATCGATATACGTACACTTGCTGCTAGTGATCTCTTGTGGCAGGGCTTGGACATTTCTCTGATGAATAAGAACTAATCGTGTCGTCACACAGCCCTACGACGGGCGCTGCCAGAATGAACGACGTGATCGGCCCGGCCAAAAGGTCTTCTTACCCGGCAAAACGGTCCTTGGAGCGACTGACGGACCAAGACAAGACTCACACAAGTCTCGAGTGTGAGAGAGCCTGGGATTGTGGGACCTTAATTGGTCCCAGGGCTGAGTTGGATCAAAAGCTAATCATTTCGGGGTCTCTCTTCTACCACTATGGGGGCTCGGGTCGACCTATTTGTGATTGGCCAACCTTTATTGATGTGTTCCCAGGGTTGGGTTGTATTGGAGACTGTCTCCATCGGCTTTAAGAGGAACCCTTTCTCTGGGACAGGGAATTTCAAATGGTAGACAAGAGGCTCAGTTCAAAACAGTGGATAAGGTAGCCCCCGGACATGGGACTGGACGTGAGTGAACGTGCCCTGGCTCCTGGGACTCGGACTGGGACTGACCTGGGGGGGGCCTGGCATGGGAGAGCTAACTAGGGCAAGCAGGACGATGCTACGCTGCGCTAGAGACGGAGACGGCAATCGACTCGATAGACTAAATGTGGGCAAATTTAGCCCAGATTTCCATCAAGTCTGCCTTGAAGCTTCTTTGCTGGTCCATGGCTTGATCTCGGGGACCTGGTTGGCTTGCTCGTTTAGTGTCCACGACGGGGAGTGCAGTGCCAGCTTTCAAAGGAACCTACAGCACCTCTCTGTGTCTCGTCTCTCTATCAGTTGTTGGCTTTTTAGACGGTTAGAATGACATCTGCTCTGCTAATAGCGCCAGCCTCTGATGGCTCTGTTCTATTTTGCTCCCGCCCTTCTGGTGACTTGGCTGCGCCTAGTAGTTCATCGTCTCGTTGACTCTCCACCGTTGATGTTACGTGACGAACCCTTCAGTACTGATAAAACCCAATACGCTCACATTCCAAACCAAGCCGTATCTGGTATACGATACGTTACAGCTTCACAGCACGGCGCAGTATGGTGTAGTATAGCATATGCCATGCTCTGGTATAGTACGAGAGGACACAGCAGATGCTCAAATCCGTCTCATGCCCTACTTGAGCCCCGATCTGTAACTCAGTGAATCCCGCTCTTTTGACGAGACACCGTTGTGTGGGATGGCAGCACTCCCCCTCCTTGTTCCACAGCGAGGTTGTTGTGCATATAGGCAGACATCCAGATATTTGGATTCATCATTCAGCATTTCATCAAGTTAGCACCATGATAATGATAGCAAACCTGCTCACAAATGGATAAGGAATTTGTCAGTATCCTGGTAATTTGCTCTATTCGTCCGAATGGAGTCGGAATCGGACATGGCCAGCGGAGTTTATTATAAATCCTTGAGGTAGGTTTTAATGATCGCCCGTGGACAGCACGGGCCGTACTGCACCAAATGAGACAGTTTCAAGTGTATTAGTGGAGGATTTGCAGTGGCCAACAGTCAGTGCATCTCTCGTCTTGCCGTCATAAATTCAATAAAGACAAATTGAAGCAATCCATAACAGTCTCGCCTTTCGCTATTAGCCGCCGCGAAGCCAAATTGCGGCCCTGGACTCGAGAATGAGTGAACGAAATGCTTGGCACAAGGATCGTAGCGAAAGGATTTCGATGCCCCGTAGCATCGCAAATGACCCAGTGAGAGAAGAACGAGTGCGAGCGCCAGTGGAGACAGGCTTCAATGGAAAGGTTGAAAAGGCGGAGGTACGTACCGTGAGCTACCCTGACCTTGTCTGCAGAGTGCATTGGATTGGGGCTCAGAGGGTGATGAGCACCAGCCCTGTGAGGCCAGCGCCAGACAGAGACAGAGACACAGACAGAGACACAGACACAGACACAGACACAGACACACAGTGACTGAGAGACAGAGGCGAAAGAGCCCCCGCAAGCACCTAAACAACACCCCTCTCCTTTGGTGCCAGGCCCCAGGGAAGGTAGCCAGGGACCTTTTTCTGCTTGTGTGTGGCCGTGCCGTCTTGGGTGCTGGGTACTAACTTAGGTGCATGCTAGTAGTGCTAGGGGAGAGGTGTGCGATGTGGAAAGTGGAGGATGTCTGTGTGTGATGGAGGGGGTAGGGGAAGAGGCGTGTATTCAACTCACTCTCTACACTGCAGATTAGGTTGATCAAAGAGACACCAGAGACAGAGTGGAAAGCGCAGCACAGCGCAGGGCAAGGCAATGTCCAGCGCTGGATACCCCCTCATGGGTACAGTACAGTAGGTACCCGTAAGGCAAGGTAAGGTAAGGTAGGCGCACACCTCACACGCCCCTGCCCTTGTAGGGTCCCTTCCACTCACTCGTCACTCACTCACGTCCTTCCTTGGGTCTTTCCGTTACCTTATGCCATGCCTGCTCCGCGCAGCTTTGGGGACATTTATTTAATATACAGCCTCTTCCCCCTCACCAACCGTCTTGCTCTCCATCTATCTCCAAGTTCATCAACAGATTCAGCTTCAAGTAGCTTCAGATCTTCTTGATCATTCTCATCTTGCACTCATATACCTACCTACTTATATACCCACTGCCACCACACTCACCACCTTGCCTTGACCATCATAGCCTCTCAGTTTGTTTGGGTATAAAGACAGACACAAGAGGACAGACAGATACAGGAAACAATTGAGAATAAACCAACTCTCCCAATCTTGCTTTGGGCCATCTAGAGCTTCGTCGTTTCAAAATCGACGTTTACAATTCTCAGCTACAAGCAACCCCACACTCACACATATAACAACTTCACAATGTCCATGTTTATGACACAACCCGCCTACGCCTACGCGGCCGCTCCTCCACCTCCCAGACAATACTCGGGAACAAGCAGTGCTTTCAGTGCTTCTGCCAACCCCGATGAGGACTGGACCAAGATCTCTGACCTTGCTGAGCGCCGAAGAATACAGAACCGCATTGCTCAGCGCAACTACCGTATGTTGAGCCTGCTTGACTCTAGATTCACTCTGGAGCCTTATGAGCTGTTTTTGCAGAACTAACAGTCCTTTCAGGCAAGAAGCTCAAGCGCCGCCTTGAAGACCTCGAGCGCCGTGCTGGTTCTTCTGACGATGCCGAGTCCGACAAGCAGCCACAGAAGCCTACCAAGTCGAAGCGATCCCCCTCCGCACCCAAGTCTCAAAAATCGCAATCCGGAGCTCCCAGCAAGTCTGTTGCCTCACAGGGCCAGTTCACTCCTCCCATGGAGCCTACCGACGAGCTTTTCTTCCCCGGCACCTACGACGACCGAGCTCGCTCAGACAGCCCTCCTCAGTTCACATACTCAACATACCCTGCTCCCGATGAGATCCTCCTCGCACCCTACGGTTCCACTCAGTCATACCCAGCCATCACAACCGCTGATGCCTACCCCAACTACATGACAGCGTCTACAGTGCCCATGACGCTTCCTTCCATGACACACTTCAGCGATGCCATCAAGCGGGAGACGTACCCTAGTGACGACGGACTCACTCCTTACATGACCTACGGTTACATGCCACCCATGGACTTCAACTCTGGTAGCCCATACGAACAGTCCAACCCTCATGTGAGTCACGCCAGTCAAACGCCCCGTGGGGTTGTACGAGATCCACGTTGCTGATGGGGTTCGCAGACTCCTCCGCTGTCGCATTCTTTCGACCACTCTGCCAACTGCTCAGAGGCTGGCTTCGACTACCCTGCCACGCCTCTGTCGATGCCTGGCTCGCCTGGTCTAATCCAGCACCAATAGGGCAGCTGGCATAGGCGAGAGAAAGAAAGAAACATAGCGAACTTTGAGATTTTGGGTTAGGCGTTGGAAATGAGCCCTACGAGGCATAGCATGGCGGGTTTTGATATATTTGATCACTTTCACACTCCACACTTTTCACTTCTTTTGGTACTGGCAAAGGTATCTATGTCACAGGCGAGAGGATGTTTACTCGTCTGCATTCGTTTTATGTACACAGGGTCGAAGCGCTCGACCATGTGATTTCTGTAACGGCTGCAAGATGCACGGACGAATTGCTTATTTGGAATGGCGAAGGAAAAGAAGACGAGTGAGGCGTTTTGGGAATGCATACAGCATACGCTTGTATGCATCCGAATGTATATTGGGCAGACACTGAACTGGACTGGACTGGACTGGCAAAGGTTGAAAGCAGGCAAGGAGGCAAACAAACAACAAAGATGGCGGCTGCGGGGTCGAGAGACCTTGGCTTGGCCACTTACATTCTTGTTAGGGTTGGTTGAATAGATATCTTGAGCCATGAGACAAATTAGATGATGAAATGTGCATAGCGCTTTGTGCTTGACTGCATTAAGGTGAAGTGAAGTGTACAAGTTGTGAGCTGGCTGTGTTTCATAATGATTATGATGTGATGAAAGTAGCCCAAGAATTTAGGAGTGATGAGTGAGGTCTAGTCTAAGTAGATAATGAATGAATGAATGAATGAATGAGGCTGGCTGAACTAGAGCAGAGTTGGCATGGCATGGCATGGCATGATATGATAGAGCTTGACCTCCCTTGTGAAGATCAAGATCAAGGGACATGCATGTTGGTAGTCAGGTAGTGCAGCTCAGTTACTGGGTTTGCTGTATCGTTTCCTTCGTTTATTATCTACTCGCGTAGACAGACGGAGCTGAATAGATAGAGGGCTCGGGTAATGTGCCATAGTGAGTCGATGGCTTGAGAGGGGGGCTTCAGCTCCATGTTCCGTGTGCATGTGCAAGTTGAGCTAGACGACCGAGGCGGAATCCAGAACTTGCGCCTCAGAGCCTCGTCTACTGTCTACTGTCGTTGTCTGTCTGTTGGGTGTCATTTTCCGTATTGTATTGCGTGTTGTATCGTGCCCCTCCCTCTTTTCTTCGTATGCTACAGGGACTTTTATGCGCTATGTGACCTGCTGGACCTGACCGGTATGTGAGTGAGTGAATGAGTGAGTGAGCTGTTGCTCGCTCGGCGGTTACCACTAACAGACCGGAGTGCTAGGGTGTGGATGAGTATTTTGGGATTGGGATTTGGGAGACACTTTCTGAGTCCGAGTCCGAGTCCTACCTCCACGTGCCAAGGAGGGTTGCATGGGTAAATCCGGGCGTTTTGTTGTGTTACAAGTTGGCATTATATTCGTCATGTTATTGGGCCTGTCTCTGTGTGTGCATGGCCTGGCCTCTTCGGTACCGACGTACGTGGTCCTGCCGGCTCCTACGGCTACGGATAACAAAGAGGAAATCAGGCTCGGGTCAAGATTCACGCCGGGTTCTTAGGGAGATACCTGCTCCTGTTCTGGGAGGATTTGGACCCTCGTCTGCTCTAGTGGCAAATGATACTGTTGCCGGGAGTGGCGGATGAATAGGAGCGAGAGGAGACGTGATGAAATGAAATGAGAGGGGGATTGAAAATGGAAAAAGGTCACGGAAAAGGGTGTGAGTCTGCGTGTACATCAAAAGGTGAGTAGGCGGATATCATTCTCAGCTATAGCCTATAGGTAGGCAGGCTGTGGACAAGTATTGAAATATTGGATGCATTCAATTACCTACCAACCTTGTTGACGCTGCAGATCAAACGACGGCCCCCAAATCATTGCAGACAAATCACCACAAGCAAGTTTCTGTAGCCATCAGTTAAGTAACAAGGCAAAACGAGTCTGGTCCTTTTGTCTGCAGTAAAGTACTCGAGTGGATATCTAGATACTGACATGAATTGACTTTAGCAGCTCAAGATCATACTAAAGTTAGTAGACAGGTCTGGACTCGATCTGCCGCTATTCGATTCCAGGCTAGATGTGATCTAACTCACGACCCAAAGACGGTCAACAGCGCCTGGACCAACACATGATGATAGGTACCGTTGTTCAACCTTATGCTTCTGAGGTGTGAACCTTGTTTTCATCTACCACTGCCGCCATGTCCGTGCGAACGGGACGAGAGAGGCTGGCTAGAGACTATCAAAAGCCATCTTTGAGGTTTATGGTTTTATGACGTATCTCAAATTGGAGTGTCTGAAGATGAAGATGTTTCATTATTCAAAGAAAAGAATCAGCCAATAGTGAAATGAACATCATGTTTGAGGAAATACTGCGTTGCTTTACAAGGGATATTGAAGCTTGATTGAACTGCTGTACGTAAGCATCTCAACTGCCGACTTGGCGTGGTACTACAAGCAAACTCAATTATGTCATCCATTTAAAGCATCCGCTCATACCAAAACATCAGGCATCTCAATTCACTCAATTCACTTCTCTTCCTTCAATTGAACGTGAAAACAAAGTGAAAATGTCAAACAGTCTGCAATACATCTTCGGTGGCCCCAAGTACGTATCAGCACCTACCACAAAGACAAGCTAGTACCAGTACCTAGGTAGCTAACTAACATCTTCAAGGGCTTGGGACAGTGGTCTCTGGACAGCCTCAGACGATCGCGTCCGCGGCGGCTCTAGCATCTCACACCTCTACACTCACCCCACGCAAGCCAAGTTCTACGGCCATCTTGACACAAAGACCCTCGGCGGCGCTGGCTTTGCTTCGCAGCGCACAGTCGGCGACCTGGCCCTCGATCTCTCCTGCACAGAGGGCATAAAACTCTCCCTCGGCTGGGACAGCTCGGATCAGACTTTTACCCTCAACGTCAAGGACACCATTCCTGGAAAGAGGGAGGATGGGCGAGATGAGGCTGGCGTGAGCTGGGAGTATGACTTCAAAGCGCCGGAGAATGGAGGTGAGATTTTCATGAAGTGGGATGAGTTCAAAGCGACGTATCGTGGGAGGGAGGTTGAGGACCCTGAGCCGTTGAAGTTGAATGATATCAAGAGAATATCTCTCATGGCACGAAGGTAAGTTTCCATGTTCTGAATTCGAAGGAGACTCGTTGCTAACGTTGAGTAGCTTCTTTGATAAGCAGGATGGAGACTTCAAGCTCTATGTTGACTGGATCGCTGCTGTCAAGAAGGATGATAACGACAGCGATGACGATGGTGATCTCAAGAAGCATGCTCTTGAGCAGCGATCTGACCCTCGTCCTGTATGGAAAAGGCTGTTCTGCGGTCTTTTGTAATTGTATTAGATACCTCCACATTTCTGTGTGTCACTCACCATGACATGAATTGGAATACACAAAAGCATTGTATCACGACCAGGGTTCTCTCCGTCTCCATGGCTTGATTATCTCTATCAATGTTGGTAATTCACTCCTCATGGCACTTTGTGTTCTGACTTGACGGTTACCCGCAACTACGAGAATCCGGCTGCACTTCTTGATGGAATCTTGTATACAAAATTTGAAGCAGGCCCCAAGCACTTTGAAAGCCTATGGCCACAGGCTATGGCGTCTTATGGACTGTGACCTCCGAGTTGTAGAAATTGCTTTAGCTTGATACTCGTGACTCTGCTGTGCCGATTCGAACCACAGATGATAACGGTTTGCCATCATGACTTACACTCCGTGTTTTCTCCCAAGCATCACCGATATCAACTTTGAACACATCTTTTATAAAGCTGCAATTCTTACAACATACACCCCTAAACCTGACCAACACCGTGTCTCTGATGCACCATCCAACGCCAAAACACCACCAAACCAGGCATGTTAAAGACTTCCATGTGCCTCCGCCCAAGTCTATCCAGCGCCTCTCCAGCCGGCAGTCAGTTAGCTATCCTTGTACCTGTTACATGAAACCCCCTAGTAACCACCCGTAGATCTTCCTTCGTATATTTAGACTGAGCCCGTTTCAGAAGTGTCGTTCCTATCCGTCTCCAGCTCGGTCGTTGAGTGGCCAAGATGCTAGATGGAAAAGCTATGTAAGAAGAACGATGCGCCATGCCTTACTGATCCGCGACAGATCGATAGAAGCCTCTTTACCCATTTCCGAGGTATGTGAAACAGAATGCAAGTCCCATAACCGTTAGCGGCTTTGGAAGAGAAGTTGGTCTAGTTGCTCTGCTGGAGCTCTGGACTTCTCTCGGCGCTTCGAGCCGGAGGGGTTGCGGGTATCAACGATGCAATATGCTTTTGATCCCTTCGCTTTTCCCAGAATATCATAAAATAAAAAATGCCCGTCCTTCATGAATCGCCGTATCAATGCACAAGGGGTATGTATTGTCACAACGGGAGGCTGAGTAGCCATCCCGGTATTAGTCTCTCCGCTCTTACATGCCGGACACACCGCCAGAGTTAGGATCCGCGACGTTGTCCGATAAGTTGATAAGCAGCTGGGCAAGGCATCTCTTGGTCGCTGCGTCATCACGGAGAACGGACGAAAAGGTAGCATCACGGAGTGGCTCAGGAAGACACTGACGCAGAGCCTCACGAGCGCGAGCGTTGTCACTCAACCTAAATGATCATCGATTAGGCCATGAACAACAAGGTAGACACGTGCTTAACTCACCGAAGGAAGCACCTGACAACGTGCTTGAGGAGACGAGCGGTCTGTGATTCGACAAGTTGAGCAACCATGTTGCTGAGGACTGTACCAACAGCATAGAAACGCTCGTATGTAGCACAGATGTAGTTAAGGCCGTTGTCGTCCAAAAGTATCTTCTGAACGATGAAGATGGCTACGGTCTTGCTAAGTTCCGAACCTGTCTCCATGATGCGCAAGCAGAGAGGGATGATCTCTGTGGTCAAGAGGAAGTTAATGACTTCAGACGAATCGTTCTTGACGAGCGCACCGATGACACCCAGGCTCGTGAGCCTGAGGTACTCGAAAGGCCGAGATTTGGAAGTGGTGTTAAGAAAGGGGTAGAGGAACAGAGGAATGTGTGCTATAGATCGTGAGCCATGCAACACCTGAATTTGAGCCACGATATACGCACCATTGAGGAACAAGGTCCTTGTATCATTGTGAGAAGCTACGCACTGGAGGAGGGCAAGGGCATTGCACACTCTGTTTGAGGCAGCTGCGGTAAGCTGGGATGGGTTAAGAAGAGTATAAACTGAAATGATCTCTTGGAGGAGAGAGGTCATGACACCTGAGAGACATGTTAGCTGGCTTCTTCCACCTGCAAGCCTGGCAGCCCAAGACAACATGGGTTGGGCACGTACCGAATGAATGCCACAATATGAGAGCCAACTCGGGGACCTGCTCGCGCTTTTTACTAAGTTCCAACAAAGCAGCCTCCCGAGTGTTCTCGTTGAGAAGATCGGCTATGAAGGCCATGGTACGCCGGTTGTCCTCCGAGACATTGCTGTGATCGGCATCCTGACCGTGGCCGGGGAGTTGACCTGCGCCAGCAAGACGGTTAAAGTGCTGCTGCTGCTGCTGCTGCTGAACGGCGGCGGCGGCTGCAGCGGCTACTTGCTGTTGCTGTTGTTGAGTATGGGCATGATGCGCGCCAGGCTGCTGGTGCATCCAAGCCGAGTCTCCTCCCTGAGGGTTGAATTGGTGGTGTCCGTAGACGTGCGCCGCTGGCATCATGTTGGGCGTATTGTTTCTTGTTCGACGGGGTTCGCAACGGAGGTTATGATTTTATGACTTGCAAGTCGAGCAGTACTCTTTTTCGTTAATGATGTAAGCTTGGCTGGAGTGTCGGTCGATGTTTCGGCGCAGCGAGTTTGAGATCGGGTTGATGAATCGAGGGCGCAAATGCGGAGGTACACGAAACACTTCCAATGGGTGAAGGGGGAATAATCGGTGAGGAAACTAAATTTTGTCGGGGAAAGGACTGTATAATATCTGCCAACGGTTCTTTTCGACTAGATTCCAATCGATGAGGACTTTGTTGTATCGTCGGGGTGATAGGGAACAATAAATAAGTGTGAGGTTCAAACCCAAGCAAGCAAGGTGAGATCGTTTGGCGGGTTGGTTTGTGGTGGTGCTCGCAGGTGCTACTGGGGCAAAGAGCGATTCATTCGGCTTCTGGTGATGGGATTGGTCAGCCTGCTTCTCATTATGGAGCTCAGGCTGCGATAGGTAGAACCGGATGTGCCATCGGGACTTGACGCTTGGACCACAAACAAGTATCCTTGTATGCGACAATGGCGCAAAAGTCTACATGGCCATGCAAGTGCGGGGAGGTAGCTCTCCCATGCCAACCTATCACTATAAACAATCATTGTCAGCCTTGTCCTACCCAAGCCTTGTCACAGCTCGATCTGTGCCCCAAGGACTCCAGGGTTTCTGAGTAACAATGGAAACCACGTATTTCAGCGTCATGGCCAACAAAGTATAGTTTACCTTGGTCAGGCAGTCTCAGTCATGTTTAGCATAAAATCTCCAATTACATTCATAGGTTTTCTCCTAGCTCTTCTCCAGTACTTCCTCTCTATGTAAGTGCTATAATAAATCATTACCTCGATGTGCTTTCTTTATGACGACCCATGCTTACAAGTTAAAATAACGAAAAGCGCCATCGAACTATACAACCACCCACGTGCTTAGAGCCCTCTGTCGCTTGAAATTCCCTGCGGTAGCCAGCCATGCTTCACGTCTACGAAACAACGCAACTCCTTCCCAGTGCTTGCTTCAACCAAACTCCTATGTTGCAAATTTCTTCCTATAGAAGTGCTAAACGATCGCTTATAGCCTCAATTCTCGAAGAATATGGTCCGCCATGCTCTTGTATTGCCACGTGTTGCCTGTCAATCGCTTGAACTGAATGCCGTGCAATGAGAGTAATGGGACCTTTACGATAAAAATCTCAAACTCCAGCACCATGCTTCCTCCAAGGTCGCTTTGCACTTGCGTGCTCGTTTCTCCCGGAATTCGCCTTGATGGACCCCCATTCTTGCCAGGAATACTGTCGAATGAGGTCTCGGAGTTGGAAAAGCTGCGGTCTCGATCAGAGCGTCCTGGCGTTCGTGGTGTAGTAGGAGGCCGTTCTGAGTCGCGGAACTCATCCCGCTCACGCTCACGCTCACGATCGTCTCCCCGCATAAGGCCGCCGAAACTGAATCGTCGCTTGTGCCCTGGTGTCATGCCGGGACTCGTGGGAGGGTCTTGCACCTTGTTCAGATCAATGCTGGGCGAATGGCGACAGTTGAAGCCGCCCTTGATCTCCGTATACTCCACATTTAACTGCCGCAGCACTCGCTTGATATCGGTTCGAATCGCAGGTACTGACTTGCCAGATGTCGTCGATACGCTGAAAAGTCCTTTCAGGAACACTGGCTTGGCAAGTTCTGTGTCGTCTAGTCGGTCTGTGGATACACCACTCTGCTCTAGTTCTTGATCTGTTTCTTCGGGCACATTGGCCTCTTGAGCAGCCTCTCTTCTCATGCGACGCTGCTGGATACTTTCCCTCCTAGCATGGCCAATAGACTTGGCCCTCAGGCTCACGGACCGGGAGTGTCCGTGGGCACGGTGTGTGCTGGAGGAATCTTCATTTGCGACAGACTGATCGGAACCACTGGTTGCTGGAGGGTCTTTTCGCCGTCTCAGGTCAGCCGAGTTGACACTCGTCGACCGCCCTAGGCCACCTCCTCTTCTGTTCTCCCTTGAACCACCTGCAGACATTGGTGGGCTAAGGAGTTCACCATGCTGCTGACCGCTCGCGGAACGGATTTGTGAGTCTGACGCATCCTCTCTGTCGCGACGTCCACGACGGATACTGAAGCTCTTGCGGGGTGCCAAGGGAGAAGGCTCAGCTGGTGAATGGACTTGTACCACAGGAGGGTGCGATCGGTCTTTGTCTAGACGCTCAGGGTCCCTACGCTTGCGTGTGCTGAACCTACGCAGAATACCAGCTGCGGTGCCTTCCTTCTTTTGAAGTTGCTCAACCCTTGGCTCGGCGGGTGGCGCAGGGGGAGGCTTCGGTACTTCGGGCATGTCGTCTTCGCCATGTGTCCTCGCGCGAGGTCTGCTTCGTCCACCAGTGGGTTTCTCACCAGGCATTTCATAAGCGGCAGAGTTGGTGTGGGCTGCTTGAGGTGCCGCAATCTCGGGCATCGGTTCTGCCTCCCTTGCCTTCTCCTTTTCACGGATCTCACGCTCCTTTTCTCTCTCCCGGTCCTTCTCACGTTCACGTTCACGTTCTCGCTCTCGCTCGCGCTCTTTCTCCCTCTCCTTTTCCTTCTCTTTCTCCTTGTCACGTGTTTGAGCTGCTGCTGGCGGAACCATATCAGCATGGTCGCGATCCTGCTTCTCCTTGACGAGATAGTATATGGATACAAGAGGACTAAATGCATTCATAGGATCGTTGCCGATCTGCAGTGCCTCGGAACTAGGAGCCGATAATGTATCGCGGCTGTTGCCAGAATTCCTGCGCTTGTAAAAGTCAAAACCGAATGGTCTCCTCTTTTCAGCATCCTTGGCGGGTGGAGGGAGCTCCTTTTCTCGTTGATAGAGCTTAACGGCGCGCTGATACTCCTCTGATTCAATTATTTTGGTAAGTTGTGCATTTATACTTTCCGGTGTACCAAAGTTAAAACCTTGCATAGCGAGAATTACTTCTGGCTCCAGTGGCGTCGTTAACGGTTCGCGAATGGGCAGGTAGTTATCGGGGGGACCGTTGAAGCCTTTAGCCATCCATGGATGCGTCATCACCTCCTGCATTGTCGCTCGCTGTTTGGGGTCCGTCACCAGCATGCGGGATAGAAGGTGTTTACACTCTGCAATTCAGTTAGAAAATAGTACAAGAGCAACACCTCAGTGACCTACCGCTTGACAGCCATGCGGGATAATCGACAAGACCTCTCTTGATCTTGGCGTGGAGCGCGGGCATGCTTTGGTCATCGAATGGAACCTTGCCACAGACCAGAACATATAGAACAATGCCAAAACTCCATACGTCAACTTCTGGGCCAGTATAAGCTCTGGCCTGCAGCAGTTCGGGGGCAGCAAAGTATAAGCTCCCGCAAAAAGTCTTGAGATGGCCGCGCGGAGCAAAGAGGTTACTTAGACCAAAATCGATAATCTTGATGTCGCCCGTCTTGCTGATAAGGATGTTCTCAATCTTGAGGTCTCGGTGGACGATGCTATTTCTATGTAAATAATCCAGAGCACTTGCGATCTGCCGACTAAACTTTCGGGCTTGCTTCTCTTTGAGCTTGCCATGCGAGATGATGTAGTCAAGCATCTGGCCGCCGTTGACGTATTCGAAAAGCATATACCAATGGTGGTTGGTACGAACCACATCGTGAAGGGCGCAGATGTGGGGGTGATTCAGGAGGGTGCTGATAGCCGCTTCACGGGCAGTTCGGATTTCCTTGGATTGATCGGCGCGTTCCTTGTCGGCACGAGATTGGTGGCCATCGTCTGTTGAGCCACGAGGGATAATTTTGCAGGCGACCTGGTGAGGTGTGATTAGTATCGTGGAAATTTAACCTTGATAGGCATCATCACGGCCTAGACATGAGGGGCAGATGGATGGATGAATGCGAATAGCCGAATGATGCAACAATGCGCAGAAGTAGGCGACATCAAACAAAAGAATAAATCCAAAACACACCTGTTCACTGCCATCCTCCTTTCGGGCGAGCTTAACCTTGCCCATGCTGCCGGCGCCAATGGTCTTGCCTAGCATCCATTTTCCAGATTGAGTTGGGATAACGGTACGTGATCTCGCGTGCTTAGATGTTGAAGTTCGGGGTGGCGCGTCGGCATGGCCATGCTGCTGAGAAGCAGTTCCATTACCAGCGCCATTACTGGGAGGGTTGGCGGAAGGAGGCATTTCGGGATGAGGGCTGTGGTGGTTGTTCTTTGATCGAGAAGAGCTCCGTCGATGGGCCCGCGAGGGATCGGGGCCCCTGGCCGGGGGTGGTCGTTCCTTGCTCGAGCTTCTTTGATGGTTGGCGGATGCGGCTAAGCGTGAGGATTCGTAGTCATTTTGCGGTACAGGTTGCGACTGGTGAGGACGTGAAGATGAGGTAGTACGCTGATGATGGTTATGATGAGGGGGGAGATGTGAGTTGGCGGCGTTTGAGCCAGAGCGGGAGTGAGAGTGGGAATGGGATTGAGAGCGGGAGGCGTAGGCTTGGGACTGGGATTGGGAGCGAGATTGAGAATGTGAGTGTGAGTGTGATAGCTGGCGGGTGTGAGATTGGGTATAGTTGGCACCTGTTCCAGTGGGCGTGGCTGGTGCAGGCGCTGCTGGGGCCGCTGAAGCGGAAGACGAGGGAGGAAAAGAGGGAGCTGGAGCCCGACTGGAACGAGAAGACCGTGTAGACTGAGTGCGACCAGGTCCTCTCGGTGATGCATCAGCAACAGCAGAAGAAGCTGTCCTTGTTCCCATTGTTGCGAAGCTAAAACGCTAGCTATGCTATGCTATGCTGTGTTTCGATGCGCTGTGCAGTTGTGAGAGACAGACGGTGTAAAAAGGCGGGATGTCGATGAACTGAACGGGTCCCTTCTACTCTGGGGTTTGTTTGCTCAAAAGGGCAGTGAGCTGTCGTTCGCTTGCTGGAGCACCAATGCCTAAGTTGGTAGGCAGGGAGGATGACCCGGTCTGAGTCCTTATTACCTAGGCCTTGAAAATGGAT